AAATAAATAAATAAATAAATAAAGTTTGGTGCCCTCTACTCTGGAGTACAACTCCTCATAAGCACTCAGCTGGCAAGGTAGAGAGTGGAGATTGTGAATGTGGCACCCCCGAATGGGGTAGATGCAGTGACCTTCCTTGCTTTAAAATATCATCCAGTGAAATGAGTGACTTTTTCAGGATTAGGAAAATTGTAAATGTAAAATGTAAGTTTGGTTAGGATTTTCATTCTTAAAGCTGCTCCTCTTGGCATGCATTACTTCCTAGACAGGGACTTCAAATCTGTCTTTCTTCCTTCCAAAATTTATGATAGGTTGAAACTGAAACTTAGGGTAGCTATAAAGATTGTTTTGAGTAATAACTGCATGAATTATCTGATATGACTTTTTATTTTAAGATGACTGCGATGCCATGGCAGTTCATTTCCATAAATATACTTTTGGCAGACAGTTCTGAGTACGGAGCTGTTTCAGTATTGAAAGGATTTAATTAAAATTCATTATTTACTGCTGTTTGATCCAGTAAATAAAATGCCTATTCTAGTCATGGGGATTTGACTTATTTGACTGTTAAGAGAAGAACATTTAATCATATTTCTTCAGTGCACTTTCTTGCACAGCTAACACATTTGTATGTAAATTGAACAACTTGGGTTAAACTGGGGAAAGGGTATACAGTAATGTGTGTGTGTTATTGTAGAATCATTTTAGGACGTGTATTTAACTTGTGTACTTAATTTGTAATATATTTTTACACTTCTGATAAGAGAGGGCATGTACACTGGTTGAAAATATTTCTGTTTGTACAGCATATATGCATTCAGATTGCACAGCCCTCAAAAATATGAGCAGCAGATTCAGTGTTGTGTTTGATCTTTCTTTGCTTTCAAGATAGCAAAGATAGATCTATGTGCCATTATGCCTTCAAGGCAACATATGTGAAACTACTTAATTTTGTTCTGCCAGTCATCCTGTGATCAGCCCCCCCAGTGTGTGTGCGCGTGTAAATGTACAGTTTAATGGGGCTTGAAGATCCACAATGTCTTGACCCAGGCTGCAGTTCCCATTATTGTGAGGAGGCAAAAAGGGAATAAATAGTAGAGCATACCGAAGGACAGCATGGGATAAGGGATTCTGGGAGTGTGTGGCTGTAAAAAGAATGGGGTTAAGAAGAACAGGGTGTTGTTGTTATAACACTTATGCCTCCCAACCATCATTCATCCTGCTTTTTAACAGAAAATTAAACTCAATATTTAAAATTAACTTAAACATTTAATTAACGATGCTGTAAAATTAAAACAAGCACAAAATAGTTTTTCCTGAGAAATCTTAAATATATTTTATTGTCCTTTTTTTCCCATTTATACCTTGCTTTTCTCCCCAAGAGGACCAAAGGCGACTTGCAGTATTAAAACCAACTACATAAGAAAGCTTAAAAAAAAAACCCACAGTGAGTTAATTAGCATATTGGTTTCCAGTATAAGGGATGTGGTGGCACTGTGGGTTAAACTGCAGAAGTGTCTGTGCTGCAAGGTCAGAAGACCAACAGTCGTAAGATCAAATCCACGTGTTAGAGAGAGCTCCCGTCGCTTGTCCCAGCTCCTGCCAACCTAGCAGTTCGAAAGAATGTAAAAATGTGAGTGATAAATAGGTACCACCATGGTGGGAAGGTAACGGCATTTCGTGTCTAGTCACGCTGGCCACGTGACCATGGAAACTGTCTATGGACAAATGCTGGCTCTATGGCTTGGAAACGGGGATCAGCAGTGTGCCCTAGAGTTGGACACAACTGGACTAAATGTCAAGGGGAACCTTTACCTATCCAGTATATGGTGTATTGTATACAGTAATGGACTAGGGCTCGGGAGACCTGGATTTCATTTCCTGGCTGTGCCATGGAAACTCACTGGGAAGGTGGAGCTGGTAAAACCATTCCTGTAATACGTCATTTACCTTGAAAATCCTATTAGGGTCGCTGTAAGTCAGTTCTGACCTGATGGCACATAACAACAACAATTAGTATATTTAAAAAGCAATTAAATAAATACTAATTTAAAACTAGAAGATAAAAACAGTTTAAACGAATTTTGAAAACAGATTTAAAATAGGACAGCAAAAAAGGGGCCAACCTAGCCTTCAGTGAGAGGGAGTTCCATAGTGTAGCTTGGGAGAAGCAAGCCCATGCCCTCACCAGACATACATATGACAGTGGGAAGATCAAGAGAATGGCCTCCCTAGTAAATTGTAGGCATCCTTCAGTCTCGAGAGACTATGGTCACGTGCTCTGAATATAGGCGTCTTGGAACAGCGTCTAGTGTGGCTGAGATGGCCAATTCGAAAGTGACAATCCCAGCCTGGTAAATATGTAAATGCATTCTCTACATAGGATGTTCTGAATTCGTGGACTACAGGCCCCAGAAGTCAGCAGGAGTTCCCCCAGCCAGATTTCTTGGGGATTTAATGAAGAAGTCAAAGTCCCCGCAGGTGTTTTCAAGTTCTTAAGCTATGAATAGACTCTGGTACCTATTTTTGGAGTGTGGAAAAGACAAGAAAAATGGGTGGGTAGGACTTAAATCGGTAGGAATTCAAAAGGATAATGGGTGTGGTAGTCTCTGCCCATTAGGCTGTGCACAGGTAACTTCTCTCTAAAAAAAAATCTACCAGGCCCATAATCCTGCCTTGCCCTTGAATACAGTGGTGTCTCAATTTATGAACGTCTCTACTTATGACCATATTGAGTTACGACCAGCTCTGGCCACAAAATTTTGTTTCGACTTGCGACCGGAGCTTCCAGTTATGAACAGAAAAAGGCAGGGGAAAAAGGCGGGAAATTCAAATTTCTAACTGTAGGTGGCAATGAGGCTGCTTCTTTGTAGCTCTTTCTCCCGAGCAATGAGAGAGTGTGGGATCAGAGAAGGCTGCCTGG